TTAAGGATACTGAATTTTTGAAAGATCAATTATATGTTATTTAAAAGAGACCAGAAAAATAGAAAGTCAAGTGATACTAAGGAAGTAGTAGCTGAAGTAAAGGTGTTTCATTTACTTGACATGAGGCAACATAGACTTTAGGGCAAAAGCATTATTAAGAATAAAGGAAGGCGGGCTCAGTGGCTCAACCTATAATCCCGTGCCTTTGGGAGGCTGAGGTGAGTGTATTGCCTGAGCCCGCGGGTTCGAGACCCGCCTGGGCAGCGAGACCTCATCTCTACAATAAATTTTTTTAAAAATCAGCCGGGCGTGGTAGCGCATGCCTGTAATTCCAGCTACTTGGAAGGCTGAGGCAGAAGGATCGCTGGAGCGCAGCAGGTCGAGGCTGCGGTGGCTGGCAGCGGCCACTGCACTGCAGTCTGGGCGACAGAGTGAGATTCCCAACTCAAAAAAAAAACAAAAACAAACAAACAAAAAAGAATAAAGCATAGCCAGGTGTGGTGGCTCGTGCCTGTAATCCCAGCATTTTGGGAGGTGGAGGCCAGAGGATTGCCTGAGGCAGGGGTTCAAGACCAACCTGGGCAATTTGAGAGACCACATCTTTCAATAAATCAAGAAAAACTAGCTAGGCGTGGTGGTGCACGCCTGTAGTTCCAGCTACATGGAAGGCTAAGGTGGAAGGATCACCTGAGCTGAGCAGGTCAAGGCTTTGGTGTCCATCAGCATGCTGCTGCACTCCAGCCTGGGTGACAGAGTGAGACTCCTACTCCAAAAATAAAAAATAAAAAGGAATAAAGAATAACAGTACATAATGATGAGAAGTTTAGTACACCAGGGAGATACAATTTCTAAAATGATATGGATGAAATGATATGATCTCAAAATATATGAAGCAAAAATTGATAGAATTATAAGGAGAAATGGACAAATCTATAATCACAGTAGATTTTAGCAAACATCTTTCAGTAATTAGAGTAATTAGCATATAGGTGATTTGAATAACACAGTTAACAAGCTTGATATAATAAACGGATATAGAACCATACATTTCCCAAATAAGAGAATATGCATTCTTTTTATGCACACATAAAATATTAATAGGAATTAACCATGTAATTGACCACAAAGCAAATCTCAAATTCTACAAAGTCATATCAGACATGCCACACTATTTTGTCCACATTGCGGTATAATTAAATATCAGTAAAAGAAAGATTGTGTGGAAATTTATATTTAGAAAATTGAGAACATACTTCTGAATAATTTATGGGCCAAAGAGAAAAAAATCATAATGGAAGTTAGAAAATATTTAGAAATGTTCAACTTTTAAAATACTGTGTATCAGACAAACCCAAGTTGAAGGGCATTCTAAACAATACCTGGCCAGTACTCTTCAAAACACTAAATATCAGAACTTGATTGTAAAGATAAAATATGGGTTAGAAGCAAAATACTATATTAGCTTTAAATACATAAAATAAAATGATTAATGAGTCAAGCATTATCTTCAAGTTGTTAGGGAAAAAATAGAGTAGATCCAAAGGCGAAGGAGGGAGAAAATATTTAAAAGAGAGGAATTTGGTTAAATATGGAATAAAGAAAAGACTCAACAAAATGAAGCATTTGTTCTTTGAAAACATGAATAAAAATAAACTTTTATAGAACTAATCAAAAAAGAAACAAATGCAACTAAACAATATTTTGAATGAAAAAGAGGATTTTGTAAAATTTCATGGCATTATATTTGAAAAAAACAAAGTGAAAAATTTTCCTGAAAGGACCAAAGACATGTAAGACAATTTTGAAGATGTGAAAGGAGAAGGAGTGGAGGCCTTGAGATTTAAGATGACTGTAAAATTATGGTGATTGAGATAGCATGCTAAAGGCACAGGCTAGGCAAGTCCATCAGTGAAACAGAATAGAGATGCAAATTTATGTACAACTTTATATGTGACTAAACTAACATAAATGAGTAGGAATAAGGATGAACTGTTCATTAAATGGTACTGGGAAAATTGGTCATCCTTATAAATAAAAGATAAAAATAATCCCTATCTCACAGCATACCAAAAATAAATTCTGAATAGATTAAAGAACCAACATGAAAAGAAAGATTTGAGAACTTTAAGAGAAAATATAGGAAACTATCTTTATGGATTTGGTGTAGAAAAGAGTTGTAAATGAGAAAGAAAAACACAAATCATAAGTAAAAGATTAAATATTTCAACTTGAAGATTAACTAGTTCGACATTGACCTAAAAAGAATTAGCATTCTGTAAATCAATTAGAGAGAGAATAGAAAAATAGACAAAATATAAAAATAGGCAGTTTACAGAAGAGAAATAGAGAATGATTTTAGAGGAGAAAAAATTGTTCAACTTTATTTAACAAAAAAGTGGAAAACTAAAAGCACGTTGAAATCTCATTTCACACTCAGCTGTCTGACATTACCAAGAGTTGGTGAGGATGTAGAGCAATGAGTTGAGAGTGTAAAGTTTTATAACCACTTTGATGAATAATTTGGCAATATCTAAGGAAGTTGAAAGTAACTTGTAGCCATGATTATAATTCTACTTTCGTGTATATGTAAATCTTATATATTCCTTTAAGAAACTCTTACCCAGGAACACAAGAAGACATCTTTGTTTGTAATGGTAAAGGAAATAATGGTAATAATTTAAATATCTCTCAGCAAGAGACATATACATAAATTCTGAAATATCCATACATTGAAATACCTTATACACTTTAAAGAAATGACCAGGTTTATCTGTCTATTGTATGTTCTTTCATCCTAGTTTAATGTTTTAGGTAGAGGTCAATGTTGTTCTCCAAACACTCCATTTCTTCTCCTGGACACTTCTCTTAGGCACATAGCAGGCCCTTTCTCATCCCATTTGGAGTTAGGTAAGGCAAAGACTTATCTTGGTCAATGAAATGTGAGTAAAGTGACGTGTTGCTTTGGGAGAAGAGTTTTAAGAGCCATTGCCTTGCTTACTCTCTTTCCACTGCTGTTGTGATAGAGAAAGCACATGTCAGTATGAAGCCTCTGTCACTGAGATCCCTGAGAGATACAATAAGCCAAGCCTACCTGGCTGATTGTCAACTGAAGACACAGAGTAAGTAAAAAATAAATGTGTGCTATGTTAAGCCACTGAGAGAATAGGGGCTGTCACTGTAGTATAACCTACTTACAGTATTATCTTATGTCTAAACTGAATTTACTGTACATCTTGTACTGCTTCCTTAAGTTCTGTCTTCCAAATCAAAGAACATTGCCCCTTTCCCATGAGATAGAGGTACCATGAATTTCTCTCTCAGTATAGTGCTTCACCTCTGTTTTCTTTCCAAAGTCATAGAGAGCTTCTCTCTGAGACCCTTCTCTGCCAGGTAACTGTACTTAACAGGCAATTTCACTAGTGTTTTTGCTTGTTGCTTTGAAGTTAAGCTTCATAATCAAGGAATTCATCACCAGAAAATCCATCGTTTCTCCCTCCCTCCTTTCTTCCCTTCCTTCCTTATCTATGGGTGGCTTTCCTTAACTACAGAGAACAAAGCAATTAGTGAAGGCATATGAGATGAGGGCTTAAGTACAGGCATGTCTAACTTTGGAAAATAAATGAATTGCTTAGAAGATACATGTAAAATTATTTACTCCACATTATTATAAAGTTAGAAATATTTTGGTATGGCAGTAGTATTTCTCGCTCCCCTTCTTTTCAGAGAATATAATACTATACTGAAAAGTACAGCAGGTTTATATATCTGATGAAGAGTTACCTTTTTCTTTTCCAATCCACTTTTAAATTATCCAAAGCATGCTATAAATCTTGAATGTAAGTAGCTATGGTTAGTAGGTTTTGGTTAACTAATTTAAATATCTGAAGAAAATTGTAGATTTTGGTTTTAAATGCACAGAAAAGGTCCCAGGGAACTTAAAAGCCATTGCATTTTGTCATTCTTCTCAGTGTTTAGAAAAATCTACATTATATTGGACAGCCATCATTTTTTAGAAGCACTTGACTTTTATAAATAAGTAGATTGATGTGGACTGGAAGTATAGAAAGAGACTCAGAATCATAATAGAGGTGGGTTTTCAAAATACAACAGTTTATGAACAAAAGGAAGAGCATGTGTGTTGCAATGCACAGCATACTAGACAAATAAAAAAGGAAATGAATCATGGTTGAGGGCAACTGTATATTTTGAAAAGGGTTTGGTACCATGTTCTGGATCACTTTTCTGTTTTATGAATTCTAAGATTCTGAATTTATCTTGTTTCTTTAAACAAACTCTCAGAAGAATCTACAGCTTACCTTACTGACTACTAATAAGTGCCTGTGTACCAATCACCTAGCTTAAGAAACAGAACATGACCAGAATCTCTTAGAAATGAAATAAATTAACGTTAACCCTTTTGGTGGGAGTCCTTCCAAGATTTCATCCCCCCCTTCCCAGACAAACTAGTCTCAATTTTGTGTAAAAGTTCTCTGGATTTCCTTTTTAGTTTTACAGCTATGTATATAACTCTAAACAAAGTATTTTTTAGTTTTGACTTTTTAAAAACTTTCTATAAATGAACTCATATACTTTTTCTGTGCCTTGCATTTTTTAAACTCAATATTATGTTATGCTGTTGAGAGTTGTCCATTTATATATAGCTATAGCTCATTCATCTCAATTGCTATATAGTTTCTCATTGTAGTAATATTCCACAATGTATTTATCCATTCTATATGGGCTATCATGTTTCTTTATAATAAAATATTTTAGGGTTAATTACTACATGTGGTTTGGTTTATTTCAGACTTAGGTTCAACTTTTTTTTACAAGCTATTTGGCATGGAAAATGTATTAATATCTGAAGATAATCAAGGTGTTCTAATTTTTCTTTTATTGTTGATTTGAGATAGCAATTAATTAATTTTGTTCTGAGCACACCATCAAACTGTATTTGGCTTCTCTTATCCTGATGCCAAATCTTGTGCTTGGATTCACAGTTCCCATGGAGAATGTTGCAACAATTGCTGATTGTGCCAGTGTGATTGAAGGAGTCAGTCGGAGCCGAAATGCCTTGCTGAATGGGGACACTAAGAATTATGACTGGGATTCTGGCTACACATGTCACCAGCTAGGAAGTGGTGCAATTGTGGTTCAACTGGCACAACCATACATGATCGGGTCAATTCGGTAAGAAGATTCCTTCTCACTCATTCATTTTAAAACAGAAGACATACATGCAAATTGTATTTGGTAAAATGGTCCCAGTAACTTCACTGAAAAAACTCTATTCTTCTTTGTTCTAAATATTGAAAAGGGTGGGGAGTGGAAGTGGGGGATGACAATGAGATAAAGGGTGCTTATTTAGATTTTCTGATGGGGAGGTGCACCAAGAGTAGACTCATGGAGGACCTAAATGAAAGGCCTCTCCCTGGGTATGACTTTCCTCCTTCTCACATCTCAGTTTGTATTGACTATAGACTTACAGAATAACCTCAAGAGAGTTATATAGAACTTTAGTAAGTGACTTTACATATGAACTAGACAGATGTGAATATGAGATCTGGTTTTAAAAGATCTTAATGATCTTTGAATCTGGGTTTTTTGTTGCTGTTTCTGTTTTGTTTTAAGAGGAGAACTTTTACTTTGCTTGATTGATTGAATTAGGTATTTTTAAATGTGAGATTAATAACATCCCTCAGAATGTATACAGTCCACACATGGCTTAATGATGGGGATACTATGTATATACTTTATATATAAAAATTTGTCATTAGCCAGTTTTGTCGTTGTGTGACCATCAGAGAGTGTACTTACCCAAACTTAGATGGTATAAATACCTACTACACACCTAAGCTATGGTATGGCCTATTGCTCCTCAGCTACAAACCTGGGCAGCATGATACTGTATCAATTACTACAGGCAACTATAACAGTGATATTTGTATATGTAGACATATCTAAACACAGAATGAGTATAGTAAAAATATGATGTAAAAGATTATAAAGTGCTACCCCTGTGTAGGGCACTTACCATGAATGGAGCTTGGAAGACTGAACTTGCACTGGGCAATTCAGTGAGTGAGTGGTAAGAGTATGTAAAGGCCTAGGACATGACTGTACACCACTGTAGACTTTGTAAATACTGTAGTACACTTAGGCTGCACTATATATTTTAAAAACAAAGTAATTGTGCTAATGACATTACCCCATCACTAGGCACAGGAATTTTTCAGCTCCATTATACGTTATGAGACCATTGTTATATACACAGTCTGTCCTTGACTGAAACGTTGTTTCCAGAGAGCCACCTGGGTCTTGAGTAGGCTGTTTTTTTCTTTTCTTTTTTTTAATGAAGGCCGCAGAAGGGCTAATGTTAAAATGGAAAATGTAATGTATGTCTATCTTTCTATCTTAGCCTGCCTGGGGTAGAGGTGTTGGCAGGACATGACTGTCTTCCCCCCATAATGCTCCACTACATTTGCTTGTTGTTTCCTGTTCTCATTTTAAAGTCAGTGTGTAAAAAGAAAGAAATGGCACAAAAAATAAGGTAGTAGGATTCTAATAAGCAAGGGTTTATTGATGTTTAGGCTAATAACCACAGAGGTTGATGCTGTTTGCTGGTTCCCTGGGGTACCCTGAGGAGTTGATGCTGAATTTCTTGGAGAATTCAAGCTGTGAATTTCTTCATTTAAAATGTCAACCTCTTTTTATAAAGGACCACATCACAGGCAGAATACCATAGGCAACAAATGACAGAGAAGCACAGACAGCTCACTGTGCGCTTAGAAAGGGGAAGTAACAAGCTGCATCAGCTAGCCGTACAAATAAACTTCCGTCAAATAGCAAACAACATCCCACCATCCCTCTTCTCTGCTGTGTGCATGAACTAAAGTACTCATAAACTATCTAATAAACTCTTCTAGAATTTTTGTCATAGATGATGTGAAACTTAACAGTATATTTCCTATTAGAATCTATCCCTCTTTAAGTATCTGGAAAACAGTTGTCCTTCTTTTGTTTTCTGACACTTCTTATAGTCTCCACAATTTCTTGAAGATTACCAGTCGTGTCTCCGAGATTACATCTGCAATTTCTCTCAGCAGGCTTGGGGTGTAGCTCATTTGAGTCAGAAGACTTGAAATCATTGAAATTGACTAGATACTCTCTTTCACTTCACCTATCTGGGACTTCAGTTTTCTCTTTATTATGTTTGTTCTGCCATTTCTAATTTGAAGACCAGTCTTCTTGCCAGTAAAGATTGAAGCAAATAGGTGGCTTAGTAGCTCTGCCCAATCTCTTAATGTTCTCTGTATTCTATTCGCTTCCTGGTACCCCACACCTTTCTCCCCACTACTGCCACCATCTAATAGTGTTTTACATGTATCTCAAACCAAGATGTCTAAAATGGCATTCCCTTATCCTCCTCCCTGCTCAAGTCACCTCATGTCATGATTCCCTGATTCATTCAGTGGTGCCACCCAACTATCTATTGCCTGAGCAAGAAACATGGGAATCTAAATTCCTTCTTCTCCTTCACTTTCCCCTCTCATCTAGTCAGCAGTAAAGCTCTGTCAGTACAGCTAAATATCTCACACATCTTCTCTTCTCCATTCTGCTGCCATCACCATAGTTGCATCTTAGTACTTTCACTTCTCTACTTGTCGTCTAGACTTCCATCAACACCCCCCCATTCCCTGCCCACAGCCATCCTTTACACTGTTACCATGAATCTGATGTGGCCACACCTCTCCCTAAGGGGTTTCATGATGAGTATCTGCCCTTATGAGAAAGTTCAGGCTAATGCTTTTAAGAACAACCTGACTTACCTCTGTCTGTGCAGACCTGTGTCCTGTATCTCTCGGCCACCCAATCCTACACTGCTCCATGTTCTGTCACTGCCTGTCTACCTATTCAGAGTATTGCACACAAGTCCTGCCCTCTCTTACCCCCTGCCTTCACCTCTTAGAATATACTCTTCTCGTTGCTTGCATCCCTCATAACCTCCTAATTACCCCCTTTTTTTTAACCTAGCTCCTTCTTATTCCCACTTCAAGGCTCCACTCCTTTGGGAATGCTTCTCTAACCATCCATCATCTCTTGGACTTATTGAGACATCACTCTTCAACGATCTCATATATTTTGTACATAATTCCCATCAGAGCATTTGTAGTGTAATTGTTTACTTGCTGCCTCCTCCCAGCCTCAGCTGATAATGTAAAAGCCTGTGCCAACTCAGAACAAGCTTCCCCTGATAGACTGAATGTGCTGATGATATAGTAAAGATAGAAGGGGAAATTACAGTGGGAAATCTAGAATTTTAGATCCAGCAGGAACCTCAGCAGGTTATTGCCAAGGTGACAACTCAAAGAGGTACAAATAGTGCCTTCATGTGGCAAGGCCATCTTGGCCTCTAACTCTGCCCAGAGACTTGGAGATGTTGAATCTGACTCCAGAAAAGAGTGTCATCAAGGCTTAAGGCGAGAAAGAATAGCACCCATTTCGGTTTTTTTAAATGTGTAATGAAGGTGGTTTCCCAAACAATTTTTCTTTCCTGAATCAAAGGGGGGATGATGAGCATGAACACAACCAAGGCAGAATTGTATATCTCAGCACAGTATGAAGCCTCCAACTTCTTTAAGCTCAGCTATTGTTTTTTCAGTAAGAAAATCCATGCAGTTGAAGCTCTGTATAACTGGCTGAGTGTTCAAAGAGACACGTCTCTGTGAAACTAACATTATGTTGTCAGGAACTGCATTTGCCTCTTCTGTGACATTATTAAGAGGAAAGGAAAAGAGATTTCTTAGCCACTGATGCCTGTGGACAGTGCTGGATATCTTGGCAGGCTGCAATTAGCAACAGCTGATGTGGCCAGATAGACATTTATTGATGGGAAACTAGATCAGTGGCACCTCTTCATGGGGATGGGTAATTGACCAATGACAGGTTCATTAGTCAGTGACATTTGACCACAGCTTCTATTGCTTGTGATGATTGACTTGCTTTCCTAGTCACCGTATCTGAAGAAGTCCAGTGATTCTGATCAACACCTAGAGGGAGAGTATTACAGAGTAGAGTGACTAACACTTTCCCCATCTTGGAGGAAGAAGATTTGGAAATCCTGGAAACTCTCTCTCTTACCTGAGGTGGGGCCCAGTCACATGGTATATTTGCTTTAAACAGTCAGGTTTCTTTATATATGATGACTACAAAGGCAGAAGGTTTTAAACATGAATTATCTTGATCACTGCGTTCATTATTTGCGAATAAGGATTTTTTTGTTTGACTGTTTTCATCCGCAAAACCACTTATTCCTTTCCTGAGGTTTACCCTGTAGCTGGGTAGGTAAGCTTTCTGGACAGAAAATGCTTGGGCCTAACCATAGTCAGCAGGAGTCTAATCCCCCTACTTAGGTACCAATACCCTCTGGTGGTATACTGGAGAAGGTGGACTCAAAATATGACCTCTGACTATCTCTCTAATTATTTCCCCATTTTCTTTCAATCGTTCAACAAAATTTTCTAAACTTTTTTTATTGTGCTCCAGGTACTGTTGCAGGCACCAGGGATATGACATTGAATATACAATCTAAGCATTGGTGCTCTCGTAGAACTGATGTTCTAGTGGAGACTGGGGGAGCTAAACAATAAACAGATGCTATTTTTAATACGTCAAATATTTAGAAGTGCTGTAGGGAAATCATAAGGGAGAACCTGGGATGGAGACACAGTGCAGTTTCAGATTAGGTGGTCATGGAAGACGTCCTGAGAAGCATGAAGGATGGGAAGAGCAAGCCGTCTGGGGATCCTGGGGATAAGCATCACAGGCAGAGAGCACAAGGCCCTGGAGTGGGAGCAGGCCAGGCAGGCCGCAGGGGCAACCAGGAGGCCAGTGTGCCTGGAGCAGAGGCAGGGAGGGGAGAGCAAGAAGCAAGGCGAGGTGGGAGTTAACTTTGAGAAGTGACAGGCTTGAGATGTTTTGTTCCTTTTTCTATACTCAACGCCAATTCCCAGAACTATCCCAACAGCCACCACCACCTCTGCCATTCCAGTGTTTTATCAGCAGCATTGGAAGAGAGAGGGGCTAGGAATGGGAGGCTCTCCTGCCTCTAGAAGTCTACTTTCCTGCTCCTGATCTGCCTTGATCCAATCAGCTCTGGGAAAAGGAATTGCAGGAGGCATCCTAGTTCT